TAACACCAATGAAAAATCACTGTGGAAATCGCAAAAAAATACCCCACTATGAATAACCTCGATCTACTCAAAAAAAATTAACCGAGCCCCAATGAAAATGCGAAGCGCCACCGACTAATAAAAAAGAATAAAAGTCCGCACGATCCCGGCACTGATCAATCCTTGTCCATTAGACTGTTCGCGATTGTGGGAAATTATCCACGCCCCCAGAGGAGAAAATTCGACAAGTGCAATCGTGTATTCCGGGATGTGCTTCATCGCTTCTTTTCTCCACCGACCAGCCGTCCAGAACTAATTTCGGGCTAAGTAATTCGAGCACCGCCAACGTCTTGCCTGCCGTGGCGGGCAATTAAGGGCCTGGGCTGACTTACCAGCTTGATTTAAGATGGCAAAAGAAGGAAGGAGTAGGAGGAAGGCTGGATAGTAATCGGAGGATGGGAGATTCAAGGGCGTACATGGTGGAGCTTTTGCCTCACACAAATGGTTACTTATCGCTTGAGTTTCGAAATCTGCTGGATTAGTGGCTTTTTTCATAATTAATATTAATTTGTTGTATTAGGCGTTCTTGGAACATTCTTTTCATTACCATTCGTTATGATTACAATAATTTCTTTATTTGTTTGTTTTTCTTGGTATTTTTTTCAGTGTCGTTTTCACGTGAAGACATGATTCGGTGAAAATAATCCTTTTGTTGATAAATATTTTCATTTTAAGCTAGTATAGGTTTATTTATTTTTTAAATTTGCACTGTATAAATCGTTGCAAATATTTTTCAATTACTTTTAGCTCTAATACCATGAAATAACAAAAAATTTTATTTTCAAACATTTTACAATTTTTTAATTGCATAAAACACAACATTACCTCATTTAAAATCCAAGTTTATAAAAAAATTTTTATCTCATTATTTTATACGAGGATAGACTAATTATAAATTAATATTGTACTGACATTCAATCTGGTAAAAAAAGTTTGATAAGGTTGATAGCATCAGTTTTAGTTAAAATTTCATTTTTCAAATACATAGCTTTCCTCTCAATTTAATTCAAAAAATGCGCGTATATGTGCTGTTTTAATTTAACTATCTGTTTTTTTTATTTGGCACATTAGTATGTCACGTACAATATCGTCACTCTACTACTAGAACTACAACGCAATAGGGGAAAGGTACAAGAAGGGAGAAGATCCTGCGATTTAATAATTAAGGGCAGTCAGTGAGAGGGTAGTTAGCGAATGGGGTGGACGTAAACTGGCTCTTTCCTCGTTTTTTGATAAATTGAAAACTTAACCTAATATTTTTTTGACATATTTTAGTGTCAGAAGTGGGATAACTGTCAGTCTTTAGTACAACACGATACGATTATTTTTCATTCATCACATAAAAAGAGTAAATTATAATTAACTTTAAGTAGACGAACCCATTAGCCTTCTTTTTAACTACTCCTCAAACGAATTTGTCCTCCTCAAAGAATAAGCTTCCTCAAAACGTCAAAAAAAAAAAAAAAAAAAAAAAACTACAAGAAACACACTAGCACTCGTTGCGCGAAACGCTTGCGGGGAGCACAGGAAAAATAATTAAAAAACGACAGAACAAGATGAAAAAAGCAGCTTGGCTACAAACCGTGTAATTTCAGACCTAAACTTTGTGATCCGCAGCGCGAAAAGAGCCTACGAGCACAGAAAAGAATACAGAGGAGAGTAAACTAGAAGAATACGAAGAAGAATGTATGTTTCGTCAACCGCGCGTTGGTTCAGCCGCAGGTCCGACAGCAGAAAAAAAAAAATCTAATTAGAAAGGACAAACGGGGCTCTTCTTAGGGTGGAAAGCTTTTAAGCATGTAACCCGTGAGTTATTGCGGGTGGACCATTTTTCTGGGCTGCAGCGAATGTAAGGGTGAGGTAATAGGTTCCGAGTGCATGTGTGTACGGTAAAGTGAGGCCGTTACTTTTAGTGTTTTTCTTGTAATTGAAAAACATTTTTTTGTTATTTCAAGTTAGTTTAACATTTAAACATGATTTTTTTTTCTTTTTTTTTTCAATACTTTGATTACTGTGATTTAAAGACGTAACAAGGAAGTTATGATCAGTATGCTTTTTAGAACCTTTCCATTCTTTGCATGTATTTTTTTTCTCTCGAACAATGAGCTGCCTCTTATTGCGCATTCGTACAGATTCCCATTCAAGAGGGAATCCATAAAATGGAGTATGAATAAAATGGCTTCCGTGCAAAATGAAATTTCATTTTTATTAAAACTATACTGATGTGATTTTTTTAAGGTAGTTTCTTGGCAAAATGAAAATGTAGAGAGGAGTTGATTATTATCTCATTTTATCTTTTAAATTTGAGTTTACCTTATTGATTATTTGGGAAAATAATAAATTTGTAGAGGTACATAAAGGTCCCTGCATTGATTTCTGAGTAGAAAAATTTGATTCTTTTGTTTTATAGATTTTAATAAAAACTACATACTGTTGTAGTAAAGATTTTTTCGAAAAAAAAACGTTGTAGCTATTCAATATTTTTTAAGTACTGTGTTTTTGACGCACGCCAAGTTTCGGAAATTAACTCCTCGTACTGTAATTATTTGGAAGTAAGCTCTTTATGACATATTAATTTTGATAAATTGTTTTAAACTTGTTACGAAGTGCTTTTATATAACAATGTATTAATTAAGGAATTCGGATGAAAATAATTTCCATTCGATTACAATGAGAAACAAACAAGCGTTTTGTTTACACAATTATGAAAGAATATTTCTTACAATAATTAAATCAACATAAATAAATATTCCATCGATTCGGAACATGAAATTCGAATAATGTCGCAAAATCAATAAGGCGAGGAAGATGCTTTTCAAAACCACAGCCTAAAAACCAATCAGCAAATCATTACTAATTGATTTCTGCGCCAACCGCAGTCATACCACCACTGACCCCTTCCCCCAATCATTTCGCGTCCCTTCGGCGGAGTTGTTTCCGTCCTCCGATTTCAATTTTCACGTGTTAATAACAACGAATGGCCGTTTATTAACGAAATTACTTAGCCGTGGTCACAATAACGCTGACAATTTCAGCTTGAACGGCTCGTTTCCACAATTAATACGGAAATTACTACAATCCCCATTATATTCAAATATATCTCCCTTACGGCTCGTTTGCATTTGTTTTAAGACTGTGTAATTTACTTGATAACACAAATTGAACATCAAAATTACATAAAGTTTTTATACTTTTTATTTTCATTAACAGTAATGAACATACAAAACTGTTCATGATACACATGTGGACATACAGCTAAATTACACAATATTTATACATTTTTTATAAGACATTTGAGGTGAGTGTAACTAACACAAAACGTATGTAGTCTAGTCAATTGTAAATAGAACTTTTTCGTTTGAAATTAAACAGATTTTTGAACATTAGCTATTTTCGTTAATCTAGCAGTCATTGTCTGAAGAGATCTAAAAAAAAAAGATTGAAGTAAAATTTACTTTCATCTATAAAAAAATAAGGAGACATCACGAAAAAAATTTGTTTGATACTATATACAAGACACTAGTCTGGAGTAAAATTTTGTTTCGATTCGCTGCTAAACCAAACATAAAATTTCACAATATCACACAGAAATCAAAGTCTTTTTTATATAATTTGACATGTCAGATGGCCTAATCAAATTACACTAGTCTTCATTAAAATATTTTGTGAAAAAATATTACGAGATTGTTACTTCAAAACGATGGGAGTTTCACAAATTACCGGCTGACTGTATACGTTTTAAACTTCTCTTTGTAAATAAATTGGATGAAAAAATGTAATCAGCCAAAAAATGCTAATCAAGCAAAATGCAACCTGGTTAACGACGAATAATTAATTATTTTTTCTCGGAAAATTCTTCATTTTCTGTGAATTTTAAATAAAGTTCCAACATTTTCGTAAAATTGAAAAAAGTCAGTACCACAAATAGTTAAAAAAACACTATTGAATCAATCTTCGAAAGGAAACAACACCCAAAGCGATAACAATCAGTTCCGAAGAGAGAGAGAAACGAGTCAGCTATAAATCGTCAATTGCTCCGGGTATGGGTAACATGTGCACTCACACATGTATGTGCACTCGATGGTCATTCGGTACGCAGAGCAGCTATAAAGTGTCTTTACGAGACTCTTTCTGTTTTAGTGTATTCACTGAGTAGAGATAAATAGAGAAAGAGAGGGATATTATACGCATTCGCTTGGTCATATCCTCGTCGTTATGAAATTGAGAATCCCAAAGAGGAAAATGTTAGGTTTATGAATTTAAAATGAGGGAGAATTCAATTTTGCTTATTTGTGTCTTTGAATGTGTCTCTCATGCTGGTGATAAACTGTTATTTTATTCAATGAGTGTGTGTATTATACACTGTTGTGAATGACAGGCGTTTACGAAAGAGTATTTTTGGCATGGAAAAGAAGAATCATATATTCGTAATGAAATTGGCTCGAGATCTAAGATTCAAACAAAATTATTGGAACATTTGAATATGATTTTTTTATGATAAAGTCATATTTTATGAAAGAAAAAAAAAATTGATGTTTATGGACACGTACATGAGTCAGATTTATTCTTATTATAAAAGCCTAAAAGCAATAAGTTCTAAAGAATTTGAGGACCAGTTTTTTTACAGCAACGGGTCCACTCGAAATAATAATACTTAAGAGTACACGTACATAATTGTTGTTTCCCCACAATTGCCCGTCATGACCAGTTTTAAAAAGAAAAAAAATATATATAATAGAGTCAGTGTTTAAGGATATCATTTCAAAATCTCACTGCATATTGTTAAAGATTGAAAAAATTATAATTGGTAAAAATCATCTATGAATTCAAAGTAATGTCCACCGAAGCTTACAAAACTTTCATTAAAATAATTTTTAATTGAATTCCCAAGTACAGCGTATTTAACTCACTTTCCGTACAATAGTACGTGAAAAAGACTAAAGCTATACTTCCCGTTCGTATCAAGTCCACCAGACGTGCCGACGTATCCAAGGCAAGTACTTGTCAACTCTGGTGAAAACGTCCGGCAGCTCCGTGAAAGCGAACGATCCAACGCCGATTTGCACGCCATCCGCTACCAGCGCACTTCCCGAGTCACCCTTGAAAAACATATCCACACATGACCGATTTCATCTACCCTAAAAAAAAAAAAAAAAAAAAGAAAAACTCACCCGAGTGGCCACGTTTTCCTCGAGCTTGCCTGAAGTGCAGATCTGAGCATCCGTGATCTCCCGGTTTCTCTTTTTCCTCCACGCTTTGGCGCATCTCGCGTGGTTCACTACTCTGAGTTTGACGTGGTGCAAGTAGTCCGACGGTCGCCTTTCCTTCTGAAAATGCAGTTTTCACGGAACACTTACAAGAAAAAAGTACATGGAGACACTTACGCGTTGGGATCCCCAGCCGGCCAAAATCACCGTTGCATTTTCGTGGTCCTCGGAATCGTTGTTGGGTAAGAGGACGGGTCTCACCTTCTTGCTGAACTTGATGCTACTCGCGGTGCGCACGAGCGCGATGTCATTCGCGTGCACGTGATCTTTGTCCTTTGAACAAAAATCGACTTCCTATGAGGGACTCTACGAAAAATCTGTAGTAATAGGGAGTTTATAAAATCTAACGGAAGTTTTTTTTTTTTTTTTGAATACAGGTAGACAGTTTTATGTTACACGCGTCTTTAGTATCGTGAGACAATGTGAAAAAATGTACGTTTTTAATTATACTTTACATAGAAAACAGTCACGTTATTTAAGTTTATTGTGTTATTTTAGATAAAAAATGGCTGTAGTCATTTCTTCTTTAACTGTTTTGAACAAAAGTGCAAGATTTTTTTTGTCAATATATAATTATAAAGTTAATTCATGATTTACTATATTTTATGCGAATGTTAAAAAAAAAAAAACTAAAATTTTTTCTGGGATTTAAGATAAAAATACATTAGTAATTTTTTGAGAAAATTAGTAATTATTGAGTTGAAATTTCTTAAAAATTTTGAATGACATGATTTCTTAAGAAGACAATGGGCTTACTAACAATTACTGACAATGTTCTCTTTTTATTTTATCTCGAATGGTCTTTTAAAAAATATTATCATCACAAAATCTGAAAAACTTGAAGGTTATTGGAAAATTATGAAAATGTTTATGCCATTTTTATTCTGCTTACACAAATTATCTCACGTTCCTTGAATTGTTTTTTTATTTACTATGGAAATACTTGCTTGGGAATGAAAAATAAATGACTACTCCAATTGAATATAAAAGGACAAAATACTGACGTAGTTCCGATGCACAATCAGCTGCGACACTTTGTAGACGACACCACCACTACCGTTCACTCGGTTCGTACCTACAGCAACAGTCGCATCCTCCGACACCTCGATACTTGCGATGGAAAAAGAAAAACTCCATCACTGGGCCGATAAAAAAAATTTAAAAAACTATCGAAAAAACTCACCGTTGAACGCAGTGCGCAGCAGTCAACAGCCAACGCCGGCTGATCACCGAAGCGCCGCAAAGAAACTTGGACCGCCTACGCAGCGCTGCCTGGTACGGGTACCTGCCATCCGGCGCCGGCGTACCGCCAAGCCAACTTTGGCCTCGAAAAGACAGGGTTTTTAAAAATAACTACTCATCATTGATGAACAAAGAGACAATTTCTTTCCCTCACCCTTTGCGATGACCAAAAGGACGGAGCAGTAAGTCAAGACGACCAGCTTTTGATTCATCCTGTTTCCAGTGCCGAGGACGCGTGCAGCTGCTTCCTTCTATCTCCCGCGAGTGCAGCCCGTTTAGATCATCTTCCATTGTTTGTGCGGATCGCTGGGGTTTTAAATTATAGACTTGAGCCATCGTAAAATCTTAAATGATGCCGTTGCACGCGATTATTACGCGATTCGTTTTATTGCTTCATTGTGAGCTTCGCGTGATAGGATCTCCAGTAATGAGTTCTTTATCAGCCGGAGATGCAAAAAATCACCCGTGACTTCGTCTCGACGTGTCACCGGAATCATTGCAGACACTGTGTATAATCCTGTTGGAATCTGAAATTTTTTTAGAATGGAAAACTATTAGCTGTGAAAATTCGAGGGTAAATATCAGCGTGGCCAGTCGAGCAAAAGTCTGTGTCCTTGAGGAGAGCTTGGGAAGCTTGTTTTTAATAATAAGGTGAGGGAAGATGGTGATGGGAAACTGTATTGGTACCTAGAAGATAGTTTATTACCAAGATTTTGGTTTTTTTTTTCGAGTACAGAAATTTCGATGCAAATGAAGGTTTTTCTCTGCGGTTCGATAATATCATAAATTAATCAAATCTGAATATTATTTTACGATAAAGTTGCAAGTGGAACTAATAAAATAATCTGATTTCAGCCCTGAAATAACAAAAAATCATATCATCGGCTTGGATTTAATTTAATTGTTATTCTCTTAAAAAAAGCAAAGATGATGAAAAATAGTTTAATGTACAGCAGTGCTGTAAAACGATTATTATTCTCATAAATCACTAACTCATGGATTACCCATTAAATGTTTTATTTGTAATAAAAAATAGTGTTGCACAACCCAATGATATAAAATTTTCAATATTTAATTACAAAGTAATGGTTAGCTCGTATAATTTTAGAGGGGTAATCAATGAAGCACTTACGCACTGCATAATGGACTTGCTATACAATTTGCAGCTACGCTCGGAACCTAATACTTGAAAATTTGAAAAAAATTAAGGTAAACCTTATTGTCGTCTTTTAACGCAAAAGACTCAATTAAAAAGTTGTAGAGACCCGATCGAAGGCTCTTTTATTGTTTGTATTTTTCCTCCCAAAGTCCATCATACGATACTACGCAGTGACACAAGCGAACCTTTTAGCCCCTGACGATAGTCTAAAAAGCGCTCAAAGACCGACAGGTTCCTAAAAAAAAAAAAAAAAAAAAATTGAACGTGGTAAATTAAAAAAAAGTAGAACAGGAGGTAGAGGGGGTGGACGAGGAAGTACTTTGATTGGCGTCCAACTCGATTGTCCGGTGTACACATACGCGCGTCATAGTATCGATCGTATGGACTAAGCGCTTTTTTCCTCTGGCCCGAAAAAAAAAGAAAGAAAAAAAATGAGTGTGTAGGCAGCGGTGGCACGCTCGCAAATGCACGATTTACGCGTTCGACCGGACGCGCCGCGAGCACGCGTAGAAAGGGCGGCTTTATTGGCAGTAAAGTCGAATTGGGAGCGATGGTTGGGGAGTGTTTTTCAGTTGACGGGCGCGAACACCTGCGGCCGGAGATGAGGACGTAATGAAATTTTGGGGGCTTTTCGGGAAAGGGCTTCGTGGGCTGAGCTTTTAACGAGCACAGCTCGGTGCATCTGCGTGGTGATGGGTGAGAAATGCGCTAGAGGGACTGGTTGCTACTAGTAGATTGTAATAGTTGCATGGCCTTTTTTTTTGTACCAAGAAACTTGAGATTTTTAAAATCATACTATTATTTCACTAGAAATTTTTGATTTATTTCTCCTGAATATGTAGTGCAGAAAGGATACAATTTTAGTTTTTGATACTTTTGATGTAAAAGACAAGTTATTAAAGGGTAGAAAAATTAACATAATCTAATCACTGGTCTATACTTCAAATCTGTAGTTTTCATTCGTTTTAAAACAAATTTGCCTCTACGCGTTAAAGAAAAGGCGTACAAAAAATTTACAACTAAATTGTCTGAAAATATTGCTGTCAAATAATTGACACAAAACTTATTTTAAAGTAATTTTTTACATACTTATTCGTAGGTTTCTTTCTCATTCTGTACTGTGTCTTTGATTACCTCTATTTTTTCTTGTTTTTTAAAACTTACAATCGGTTCAGAATACTTTCTTACTTGACATGTTACCTATGTATTAAAATCAATATTATCAAATGGAAGACAATTTTTTGTTTTTTTCGTAAAACATTAATTAACTGTATTATTTGAAAAAGTTCTTGAAGTAACTATTTTGAATTTTATCTAAAAAAAACGTACATTATACAGCCAAAAACATGTTTGTAAAATAGATAGCTCATTTCTAAATGTATATGCTTTAAGAAAAACTGTACTTTCTTAAAAATTGGCTGAACCAATGAAACCTCGTTGAGAACATGTATAAAGTTTTTTCTACATTTTGTGATGTACAGGAGATACTTTTGTCAAACAAGTATTCCGAGCATCGCAAACAAAAGCCCCATGGCTTGCATTCTCAATGCTCTCTCTTGCGGGCGGATCGCACATTATAATCCCATTCACGCCTGCCAACAATTCGCAGCTTCAACTTCCGAGAAACCGCACAGCTCGAAAATCCCACGATCAGTCCAATATCATACACAATCCGCAATCAAGTTACCCTCTCCCGCACGTGACAAATTCGGCCCGACCCGGCGCGCATGCGATATTCGAAAGTCCGTCCGGCGTACACACACACACACACACGTCATGATGAAAATCACGCGTGCGAGTTGCTTTTTGGCCGTACACGTACACACACCACGGCCGGATAATTCGATTCTCAGTGGCTGTAATTAAATATCGGGTGTAACTTTGTCACCAGCTGCGAATAAAATTTTCGAGGCTAACTCGAAGGATCAGGGGTACAATGTCGCCTTGATTGGCCGCGCGGCCTCAAAACTTTCTCCCGTTTCAAGTGCGCATACATATTTTTTTTTTTTTTTTTCTAACTTTTCCACCGCATGTAGAAGTGAAACTAACATCATTTACGATTTGTTGAGACAACGAAAAAGTTTGAGCCGGAAAAAAAGCAAAATCACCCCCTTCGACGACTCCGAAGCGATTACACAGCCATTTGGGGGAAAAAACGCTGCACTGCAGACACGCAAGGAAAAATAAAGACACATGGGCGTCGAAAGGGAAAACAAAAAGTGCGGGGCGCGTAATCGTAATCCTTTTAAAAAGTCTCTTTCCGCTAAAAACAAGCTCGCGGTGGAAACGCAACAAAAACACAAGCCAACGCAGGGGGGAGGGGGTCGAAGGAAAATTCCAGCTCGGGCTTGTTTCGAGCTCCCGAAGCTTTTATCCGAGGGTGGGGGCGTCTGATAAATATTCACGTCGGGGAGTGAAAGAGGCGGCAAACGGGAAAAATCTCTCTTTCCGCGCGCTCGGATGCGATGGCACGTGTGCATACCTTTACAGTTGCGCCGGGGAACAGGGGGTACGGGTAGTGGACACTGGCTGAGATATTTAGAGCAGCGTGTACTGCACGTATGCGAGGGAGCTCGTAATTCATCGTGACTTTTGTTTCAGGGCTGTTGCCGCGTAAAAGAGTGTATGGAGTTGTTGGGCCATGAATCGGGGGATTTGTTCGTTTCCCTTATCTCCTACTTTTTTTTATGGACAGGAAGCTGATACACGATTATCCATTGTCGCACATGTAAGTAGATTAAGTGTCGAGCGATTGTTCTCCGAATTTTTTTTTTTTTTTTTTTTTTCTTATGCACTATACAAAATAATGTTTTGCGCTATGAAAATGAGTTCTTTAAAATTATATTTCACACCATCGGCTTCAATAGCTGCATGAGTAGAGAAGGAAATGCCTATACCTCAACTGAGCGGGTTCGAATTCGGTAATAACAATGCACATGATGTGAGCATCCAGATACTATTGAATCGCAACATCCGTAACAATGTCGCAACAAGAAAAAAGACATTTGTCAGTGGGAATTGGCTAGTTGTTTCTGACCCAACTCTTCTTGTTATTAATTGTTGTTTTATTTTATTAAAAGTATGCCAGTAACTTTAAATAATATAGATTACACTGATTAAAAATTTACAAAATTTGAGTATTCGTGAATAGTATGCAGCTAGTATATGTAAGAATAAATAAATATTAGATTAAAAGCAATAACAAAATTATGTAACAGCCAGGGATGGACAGTTTACGGTGGAGTTGAAGATAATCACAAAAATAAGCTATAGTTTCAAAGTAACTTTTTAATCACGAACAAATAAGTTTGTTAAGGATATTAGAAACAATGTGACCTTAATAAGTACTTGATTTGGTAAGATGACGCACACGAGTGAAAAATGTTTGCTTGGTGTACTACCAAGTTCCAGATAAGCAAGTGACTTGATGGGGATGGCATAGAGTAAAATAGGTAAAATTGGTATTAGGACCGTTTTTTTGACATTACATAGACATATGTTGCATTTTCCAACATCAAGATATGTACTAAAGAATAGACCGTTTAAAAATCGTTTAATGTCTTTTTACACAGCATTGTAGTCTAGAGGTAATCTGATAGCTGGAAAGACTTTCGTACCATTGGCATAGATAAGAATTATTAAATAACTTTTGTTTACAATTAAATTTAAAGCATACCTATGAATAATATAATTGTATTTTTAACTTGAATGTTGAAAACATCTGTTTTCAATAAAAATTTCATACGACACATTTAAATGCTATTAGTAAACAGTATTGTTTTCTTTGACCTGCTGTTTCATTATTGTAGCATAATCGCTTTTACTTGCGACATTATATGGGCCACTGACAAATTTATGTTATCTTCCATCTTGTCCCTATTAAGAATAAAGTTGTTTCTTATTATATAAAAATAAATAATGATTGATGAAATTTATTTGAAATTTTCCCCAAACGGATCTAATTAAATTCCATTACAATAGCAACAAAATAATACGAAAAAAAACAAACTTTTCTTTGACAAGCCTCGACACCCTGAAGGTTTGGAAAATGAATTTCCACATTTCGCTCGCAAGTC